CTCATTTTACTATAGAGCTACAAAGATGGACAATGTTTCATCTGTCGTGAACGATTCCGGTTTGCTCCTCAGGGGTGACGCCAGCAGGGGGAGGGGAAGGGAAGGGTCCCCGTCGAAGAGAGGTCTCTCTACCCCCCTCCCCGGCGTTGGGGAGATAAACTACAATTCGTCAGGGAGAAATAAAATGTGTATGTATTTTCTACATATTAGTAGACTTTAAAATCGATTCTTCTTGAACGCCCCTTGGAATGCTGCATAAAGAAGTTCAGTGCGTACATCTTATGTCAACATCTCTTGTACTTTATCCTTGTGCAAACTCTCTGGAAAGATCCTCCCATACTTCGATAGGACGTCCCGGTTTGGGTTGTTTTTAAGTCTCTTGTGGGTTTTCTGCTGGTGTGGAAAGAATGTCTCTGTTCTGTGTTAAAACATTAGTAACTTCATCAGAAAATGGAATCCTGTTGTCTAGCCACGAGTTATTTTCTTTAGAAATCCGGCAAACACGTGTTAACGTTCTTTTAACTTTCTTGGCCAATGTTGTGGTTAGGTATGTCACAAAATAACGTTTACACAACGTTGAAGGAACGTGCAAAAGTTGTGAAATTATGTTCAGTACGTATTTATGGTTCTACAAAATAATGTTTCCAACAGAAAACTGTAACGTTATCATAACGTATTATTATTTGCTGGGGGAAGGTCGTTACTACTCGCGTAGTAGCTCAACTCTCCTTAACTTGAAACAGGAAGCTTTTCAAAGTCTTGGATGTCTTTGAATAAAGTTTAAAACAATTGACGCCTAGATATAGGCCTGCTTGTAGATATCATCTTCATTATGATATATGATGTTTGGATTATTAGGCTGCTCAAAATGTAATAAAGTATTCTAAACAGCAACACAATATTAGAAGATTTGCTACTGTTAAATCACGAGCAGTTTGTAAACCAGTTCATTTCCCACGCTTTGAATGAACTGGTTGAGTAGACCCGCGTACATCCCTCTGATCTGCGGTTTGCTCTAATTAAATTATGTCTCAAATATACGAAAACAAGACTAATAAAAGTGCGTCTAGCTCGAAAAGTTGCAAGTAGCAGCTAAATTTGGTACCATCATAAAGCTAAGGCTATACTGAAGATGGTGATGTAAAAATTAAAGCATGAATCCACATGAATCTAAACTTTCTCTCCTACTTTTCTAAAAATAGATTTATGAATATTTTTTCAGTGTCGTTTAAACAACGATTTATTATTGATGCAAACTTCAAATGTAAATCAAAACATATATTTGTGTTCACCAATTTATATACAAGAAACGTGTACATTTTGAAGTAATTCCGAATTGTCTGTAAGAAAAAAAAAACGTGTTTTGATATAATGTAGTAAATTATAGCATTTGAAATATTTATAGAGAAATTTCAGCAATTTGTTGAAAAATACTACCCTTAAAATTCGTTTAAATGTAAAATATTTTCAGGATTGATTCACCAGGGTATACCCATCTTCAATCATGGGAAAAAGTGTAAAATCCATACTCACCAAAATGGACTTTTGGCACACTTTGATTTCGCCCCGGCCCACTGTGGGCCGGAGGCCCAGGCCTCGGACGGGGCCAGGCGACCGCATAAACCCCCAGTGGGTTTTCAGTCGCTCTGCCGTATATAGACTTTTATAAGTCGTACCTAATTGATTAGATACAATCAACATAGCAATGAAATGCAATTACATTTATTTTAAAACTACATTTTCAAAATACCGAGGCGGATCCAATAATTTAAAATAGAGGGTTCCATTGAAGGACTTTTACTTTCGGTACCTTTTAATCGAAGCTCGACCTCGCCCACTTTGCTTTCGTCGGGGAAATCTGACACCTCGTCGGGGGCACTGGCCCCCTTGTCGGGGACCTCGTCCACCGTCGGGCAAATCCTGGCGCCACCCCTGTTTGTGATGTGGAAAGTGAGCATTTTACATGGATGGTTATTTTCATGCCTTATTACATGAGATATCAAGTTTACTTGTTTTTGTAGAAATCTGATATTGTTTTAGTGTCTGTAAGTGTGTGTAGTGAGTAGTTGGTAAGAATGAAGACCCAATCAATGTTTTCAGCAATTTTTTTCTCGTTTGAAAGTGAGTTTCAGCGTTTGAAACCATTTGCAACCATATTACTTAGGATGTAATTACAGGTGGAGTTCATTAGGGCGCCTAACTTGACATCCGTAGGTAGGTCTAAGTCTCGAGCGTATAAGGGAGTTCATGTAGCTGATTCTTAAACTAAGAGGGATATGAGAATTGTTCAGTAACTGTTGATGTTCAGCAAAAACGTAGCAACACGATGTTCGACCTCTCTCGAACCGATGTTGGTGTCATTTATGTGTTCCAAACACTAAATATTTAAAATATTTCGTGTTTTCCACTTCCTTTCCTTTAATTTGCAGAATGGGTATGGTCCCTCCTTATAGAATTGAGCCATTAATGAAGCGGAACATTCACATTTAAGTATTGTAACTAATAATCAAATGGGACTATAATAATTAAATCATAAATCCATTGATTGATTGATTGATGCATCAAAAAGTAAATTATTTACGTTATTAATTAGTATCTATAAAAGGCTTAGATACAAACAAGTTAGAAAATACGAAAGGACCTGATAGAGGTGCGATTGTCAAATAAATACTGAATTAATATATTAAACCAGTGGCGGATTTAAAGGCAGGGCCTTTCCCCAACTCCCTAATTTTTAAAATTCAACAAAATTTTGAAAAAAAAAAAAAAAAAAAAAGGTTTACTCAAATTGTAGTCTAAGAGTTCCATTTTCGGCCGTCCAGAGGTGCCATAATCATAAATATTCTTACTTCAGCCCCAACTACGATGGGGCTGAGGCAGATAGACCGTCCATCTGTGAATGTCCTTCTCTGGGCCCCATCTATTTAAAAATCCTGGATATGCCACTCTAAACTTTGATACCTATGTTATTAATCCTTTCAGCACATTTAAATAAAAGGAAGTAAAGCTCAAACTTTTCATGTTTACTTCATATTTTATTGTTTATGACCAAGTGAAATTAGGCACTCTATAATCGATTGAATTAGTTCTCTAGTCCGTTAAAAGGCCGTAGAACATATTTGCTGCGAAGCAGCCAATTCATATTCTTGACAGCAATTTGACCTCTGAAAGGTCATTGTTTGTCAAAAAACGAGTGCCTAAGGGCATGTTTCTGCTGAAGAACGCCAAAAAAAAAAACACGTTTTTTTAAAAAACGGTTCGGAAAGTGTTTGTAAACAAAAACTGGGTTGTAACCAATTTTTGACAGGAAAAACGGTTTTCTATATGTGTGGTCGTTGTTGCGATGACGTCATTCCCAGAACGCGGTTCGTACGGCGGAAATGAGGTCGATCGGCCGGCTGAACTAGGGCTAGGCCTATGGCGGTAATGTAGTATAGTATTCTCCCTGCTACAGTGCTAGTCTATGGCCTAGTTTCATACAACATTACAACATGACGACAAGACTTACGTACCATCGGCAACAGTGTGTTGAATCCCGCCTTTCATCACATAGGGGGGATCGTGCATGTCACGACCCCCCAGAATATTGTCCAACATGTCATAATACGGACAAGTTTGCCTGTCATTACCGGACCTACCATTATGGTCCTTCGCTAGCGTGTACGCCCGTCGCAAACGCTTAAGCTTGTTGGTTACTTGAACCGTTGTCAACTTTACACCGAACTCCTCTTCGACTTTTTTTACTGTGCGTATCACTCTTGCTTCCTATTAATCTTCCCCCTACTTTCTCCTCTCCCCACAAAGTTATAACCAATTTTGTAATTTCGTCGTTCCACATTTTCGCGCGGTTGTGTTGCTTTGGAAATTCGTGTGGAGTTTTGACACCGCGAGGTCAAATCGCGACTGGTATTTGGTTGCAGCTAAAAAGTGCTTCCCCCAAAAAAAAAACGGTTTTCCCCATAAAAAACTTTTTTTTTCTATCGGACACGGAATGGATTGCGTTTTTTCGAACCGTTTTTTTCGATCGGAAAAAACCGTTTTTCTGTCAGTGGTACCATTTCTACTAGCAGAAAAAAAAAACGTTTTTTTTTTTAACCGTTTTAAAAAACGTTTTTTCTTGCCAGCAGAAACATGCCCTAAGACGACTGAAAAGCGGAGTTTCCTTCTTTCGTTCTGCCGGGTAAAATCAATTACTTTAGGCGACGTTTAACCTACTCGTACCAACGTCCGCATGTCGCGCTAGCTTTATCCTACTCTAGGCATAGACTAGCTAGGATGGTATAGGCCTAGCCTTGAAGACGAAGGTCCCAATGAAAAACAACGTCGCTCTTTGATAGCTAACATTGTCTATTTAACATCACAATAATTCATTATTAGACCTATAGTTGTTTTTTGAATTGTACTCCACA